ATATATATATATATATATATATATGTCAATTTTACATTCCTAAACATAAATCTAGAGCTGAATTTATGGTAAGAATTCCTCGTGTAACAGTTAGCTGTTTCATTTCGCCTATTTATCAAAATCTATGACTGTATTTCCAAGATTAGAAAGTTTTGATGCCTACTGTAACTCAAGACTCGTGACTTTCATTATTAGTCAACAAAATTTATTTTCTGGTAAAAATGTGGAACTTCTATTTTTAATGTTTAGTTGCAACATTTAAAGTAAGTCTAAAGAGAGAACCGAAAACTCTAAATCTTGAATAAATATGATGTCCGTATTTAAAGGAATATTTTATAGCAACAAATATTTCGTTAAAATCTAAAAAGAACGCTCAGACAAAAGAAGTTTCACATCTCACGTGGGAATACCAAATGATTCAAAAAGTTCTCTTCCGAAAATGTGGCTCTTTTTCGAATCAGAACGAACTGATAAAGGAACTTCATTTGCATGTGGAATACAACAAAACTGAGCACTTCGGTCCTCTGTTTTTAATTCTAAACAGCTAGTTTTTGTAAAAGTAATCGTTTTGTCACCAAATTTATCTTTTGACGGGGAATCAGCTTATATGATTTGCTTTGATGAAAACTTTGCAATAATTTTGAGTTACATCTGGTAAACAAAAGTTCGACATCTCATGAGTATCTTTCCAGTTTACAGTTCTGATATCTTACAGCACATAAAGGAACATGAGAAAATTGAGTTTAGATAGTTAACAAAATGTTGAAAAAATTTATAGAAAGTCATGATATGCATGAGACTAGGTCAAATATTTTTATGCGAGAAGTTTCAATTAAAATTCTTTTTGCCAAAAATAAAAATGTGATGGCCATACAGACATCCATAGTTTTTCCCGAACAGTGAAATATGTCTGTTAACTTAATTGGCAATAACTTTATATGTAATCTAACTTGCATAAACTATTTGCTGAAAGTATAGTGATAAGTATTGAATTTAACAATTAATTACTCGATGTGAAACATGAAAATTAACATTGGCTCCACTATGGCTGTATGGATTAGTCAACAAAAGAGTCGAAATGAGCCTTAAGACAACTTTGAAACGGAAAACGGAGTAAATGAGCTTTGTTGAATAAACATTCGAAATCATTGCATGAAGAAAAGAACGAAAGAAGGAAGAACACTGCAAACTTTTGACAGTACTAAAAGAGAGACTGCGAAATTAATACTGTTGAAAATGAATGGAAAAGAGAAATTAGTTTACATCGAAATGGGATCGATGATGCTTAGAAGAATTTTAAATGGTTGAAAGAAAAGAAGGAAAGAGAAGAATGAATGTCTGGAAGTAGCCTCAGCTATTAAACAATGCAAAGCAGTAAGCACGGATATCGATCTAGAGCATTGAAGAAAGCTAGGCTGATTTAGAGAGGAGAAGACAGCTTGAGAATGGTCAGAATGCGTAACAAGCAGCCAATTGAAGACTCTATTTCAGTGCTCAGTTAAAATCCTGACCGACCTGCCTAATGACCATGCAAATTTATTTA